TCTCTCGAGGCTGTGGAGAGCCAGGGTGACTAACCCTTTGCCTCAACAGTTGTTCCTAAGAAGGGCTGCAGATTGGTCATAAAAGGACTAAAGCACGTGTCACCACATGGAAGAACCTTGAAAAATCATGCCAGGACCCAGAAGGCAGTCATAAAAGACCTCAGTGTTCAATTCTATTTATAACAAATATCCAGAATAAGAGAATTCACAGAGGCAGAAGATAGATCAGTGGTTGCTGGGGACTGTGTGTGCATTGGGAGGACTCTGCTGGGAAGCTCAAAATTAAGGGGTTGGGGGAATTGTTCTCTAAAGTTGATAGTGGTGAGGGCTGCTTAACTGAATATATTGGAAGTGATTGAACTGTTCACTTGAGCTGGATGAACTGTACTCTGTGAATCAGAGAGTACTAAAGCTGTTACAGCAAGCCATGGCAGTGTTACAGTTGGTCAACAAGTCAGAGGAGTTGGTGTTTTCAACTTGAAGCCTCACTTAATAAAAATTAGCATTAATATTTATTGTTAACTTTTATATCAGGCTCTGTACTAGGCTCCTTAATCTTCACAACAACTTAATCTTCATAACAACATAAGAAGCACGTACAAATATTAAGCCTCCACTTTGCAGATGGGCTAACTGAGGCATGGAGAGGGTAGGAGCTGCTTTTGTACTAGTAACAGGTAGTGTTGGAAGCTGATCCCAGGGCTGTTAGCACTCTTTCCATACATACATGCTATGTTGCCACACAGATGTGATAAATGGAAAGGTCAGGATGGACAGTCCTGACTCCCAGCCCACAACCTCTCTAGGATAATAATCCCTAACCAGGTGCTGAGTCTCCCGGAAGGCTTTGTCCAGATGAGTCATCCAGAGTTGTAACATAATTGGTTTCAGTTACCTTAAGTATAATGTTCAAGTGTATGGTTACTGATTCCAAATTTCTGTCTGTCTCTCTCCACGCCCATACACTCACCCCTCTCTGAAGCTGCACTTTCCTTTTGCTAACCGTATTTCCCTACCTTATTTGAATCCAGGGCAGTTGAAAGAGCACGTGAATACAATTTATATTTCTAGTTGTAAAATACCATTAGAAAATTCAAAAACTGAATTTAGATTCTGTTATGCTTACCAATCATTTGCTCAACAACCCTGGAGCATCAACTCTTTAATCCCCAGGCACACCTGCGTGTCTGGGCTCCCATCACTAGCCTGATGTGGGGTGAGTAATCACGCTTCTTTGTGTGAAGGTGGGTCCCTTTCCCCGCCAGTGGCACAACAGCCACCACCACTTGGCTCCCTGGTACGGCAGGAGCTCCACGCTTTCAGGTTTGCTCACTCGTTCATTCGAAAAAAACCCCATAACACTCATCAAGCTTTCTTTAAACACTTCCATTCTCATGCAAGATGGTAATTATAAAAGTTCTCCTTCGGAATTTTTTTTTAGCTCTTTCTTTCAACCTCTTTGTGAACAACTTTCCCCCTGGACAATACTATAACCTCTAAGTAAATAATAATTATGCATAAAATCTGATCTTTTTTATGCCATTTGGAGCCCTCCAGCTCCCCAAATCTACTTGCACCTTACTTGGGAATGGAGATGACTATTTGCCACCTCACAGACGAATTTTCTTCCTGTTCTGTGCAACTAATTTACCAGCCACTCTGAGAGGGGTGTATGATGCTTTTAAATGTAAACTGTTATGCAGGGGCCCCCATGTGATCCAACCTCTGAACAGCTGCCTTTCAAAGTCCTATAACAAAGAGAATTGGAAATGCGATTCAGGGCTTTCTTAGAATGCTGAATAAGGATTTGACCATAATCACAGAGGACATTTTCTTAAGAATCTTTTGCTCAAATTTCTGAAATCTTGGTTCCATCTTCCTCTTTTCTCCCACAGTGCTCAGATTTGCCTCCCAGCCCTGCTCAAGCTGTCTCTTCCTCTCTGGGGCTAACACATAACTTCAGCTTTATGGCTCTTTCTACCCATTACGTAAATCACTGAACCTCAGGTCTAGCATGAAGCGGCTTCCTGCATACACTCTTCCTGAAGAGAGGAGGCAATGTATTCCCCCAAGTCAACATTCTCTTACCTGGACATTCAGGATGCCAGTTTGGGGGTGTTTTTTGTTTCTGAGGACTCACTAGATTTCTACAGAGAACACCTTGAAGTCAAGGGGGTGCTGGAGAACATCAGAAGCAGCAGAAAGCACTGGCCTCGTCATCTCGTCTGCACAGGGACCCCTTGTTTTGACCTTGATCGGGGCCTGTGGCTTCTGTCCTGAGAACTGTCCACTCTGCCTGCTCCCTGATCTTTCTGTGCACGCCCCGCTTATGGGAAGGTTTTCTTGTGGGAACAACCCCTGACTTGTCGGGGATCTTGTCTTGGGCCAATGTGAAGCAGCCAGATGTGGGAGGGAGCAGGCAACTTGTTTCCAGAGGGTTAAGAAGTTCCAGGGCTTCATGTGGAGAGGGGCTTCCTGCCATGATCCAGTGCTCAACTGGGGCTCTGGTTCAGGACCCTCTGCTTCTGGGGTGACTTGCTCCAGCTCCTAAGCACCCCACCTATATTCATACTAAATGTATCCTACCATGGTGGGGTGATTTCCTTTTACTGCGCATGCAAGAATGCTGGTGTGCAAGAACAGCTCACCTAGTTGAGGAGAATGGGGACCCCACTGCATGGAGACAGCCAAGCGTCACCCCCAAGTATGGGCTATGCCAAAGATGGCCTGGCTGTGTGCAGCTGGCATAATACCCCAGGGTAGAGGGGCAGGGGCCTTTCGGGCATTGTGGGCCAAGGGCACTTGGGGGTGCTGTGCACACTCCGGTGTCCGTCTGCCCAGCCAGGTGGGTGACTCTTGGGAAGCGGCTGCTGGAGCTGTGGGATCCTGCCAGCGCGGCTGACCGACCCTCTGCGAGCCAGCATTTCCTCCTCTGAAAGCTAGAGGAGGTATTAGCGACCACTTAGGACATCCAACAAAGAGGAAAGGACATAGCTGGCAGCCAATCAAGCGTTTGTGCTACTGGTGGCTGTGATTACATGCTGGCTCAGAAATGCTAGCCTGCCCCGGCCCCGTCTGGACTTTCCCAGCTCCGAAACGCCCCTCCGCTGCGGCGTCATCAGCATTTGACCAACAACTCTGGCTGGAGGACGATATACATACAAGATTTTCTGAGCGTGAGATAAAAGACGAGCCCAAAGGAGGACCAGAGGGGCAGAGGCTTGGCTGGCCCACAAATGCTCCTCTCCACCTGTCTGGGCTGCCGGGACCGCCTGGAGCTCTGGTTCTGTCCACCCCCATCCGCCCATATGCCAAGTCTGCAGTCTTGATTGTCACCACTTGGGGAGGGGCGTCACTGACTTTGCAGAGGGTGGAAGGGGGGGTGGGCGCTGCTAATACTCCCCTCTGCCGGTGACCTTCTGGAAGCCAAGGAGACAGTGCCCATGACTTCTTCCCCAGCAGACTCTGATGGGGAAGAGTTAGTGTATCTCTAACTCTTAGGAGAATCCGAGCAGTCCTGAGCAAGCGGTGACGGCGGGATTTTTGTCTTTCAGATTCACTTGGCATGACAGGATGGCAGACTCAGGAGGGTCCCCGAGGTGTGCGCTTTGTTTCTTATCTACGCCTCTTTCCCAGAAAGTTCCTGAGAAGTCCGACACCACGCTGCGCTGCGTGATATCTGGTAACCCATGCCAGCCGGCCATCCGCTGCCCCCCTCTATCTAACCTGCTAGTTGGCTCACAAAGGCATCATTTCGGACAAAGACCTGGGAAGTTTTTTCTGAGTAATCTCAACTGAGCAACTCGATCCTCTCTGACTTCTGTTTGAAGAGATTTCTGGGGTACTTCCTGCATGCAGTGCAGTGATCTTCCTCATTTACCCTGCGGTTCTTGGTTAGGCAACTTCCACGCCCACCAGTTTTTCAGATAATCCATTCTTACTTTCCTGTGGCACGTAGGAATGGCGAGAATTGCTCCCTGTCAGACAATTCACCGAACTCTTCTCCCACCACTCTTTCATTGTTAGCCCCAAACTGGCTACATGGGCCCCCAACTTTTTGGGGCAGGCTAGTCTGCAGAAAAGGTTAAAACCCTGACAAAGGGTGTGCAGTGGAGGAAAATCCAGGGACTGGGCTCCTCTCTGGATAAGAGGGTAAGCAGCCCAGGCCCAGAACTGGTAACCCCCATGTCCAAAAGGATTTATTATTACAACAAACAATTAGGTAGGGAAGTGGTATTTTGAGCCTTGTGGTTTGGTCCTTCCTTCTCGGACTTCTCTTCTTCCCCCTTATCATGGAGGTACCCGTGGTGTTTCTGGTGGGCAGGCAGAAAGTTCTTCCCTCCCAATAGACTTCTTTTAAACCCAGAGACAAGAGCCAGCTTTGGACATGGCTGCATCGTCTTAGCAGAATCGCTATGGCACTTCAGTCTGGATGCTGGAGCGACTCGAGCTGAGCCCTTCCAGCCCAGAACTGAGCCCCTCACCTCTGCGCTCGTCCTTGGGGTTCAGCTAGGAGACAGGCCTACACACACTCCTGAGCTCTCAGAGTGGGCTCTCTTGTCTGCGCAGGAAGCCTGTGGATGTACCCTCAACATGGCCACCATTCTTCCCCCATCTCTTCCCCTCCCATTCCCCCCCCCACCAGGTGGTGGGGTGCTGGAGAAACATCCTGGAGGTGACTCTCAGTGCGTGGCCTGCAGGAGGCTTCACACAGGAGTGTAGGAATTTTGGGTGAGGTTTCCAGCAAGTGGAGGGAGAAGAGAGATCCACCCACAAGGTACAAGATACCACTTCCCTGCGCAGGTCTCATTTCTGGCCCATCATTCAGATCTGTACCACACCAAGGGAAAACACCAGTCAACCACTAAGAATTGGGGGGAGGAGCTCGATCGTCCCTATCAGTCTGAATAAGAGACTGAGTCCAAGAGGTCAGGATGACCCCCAGGTCTGACTCACACATACTGTGTGCAGACCCTTCACGTGAACAAGGAGCAATCGCATCCCCACTCCCAAGCCTTGTTCTGCACCCCCAACCTTGCCACTGGATTAAATCTCCCCATTAAGTAACTCCTTCCTAAGAAGGAAGCTTGTACAACTGGAAGTGGGGAGCAGGCTGACGAGGACAGGCCGAGGTCAGGCTCCATTAGAGGCAGCCTGGTTCAGTCACCGGCCTGAAGGGGCCTCTGCTCAGCTGCTGCTCAGCTCGGACATGGCATGGCAGGATTCTGTCTGCTGCTGACCCCAGGGACCCCTGCTCAGGGGCCTGTCTGGGAGGGGAGGCAAAGAGGGACACCCACATTTGGTGCAAGCACGTTCTTGGCATCGGCACAGAGGTAGCCGAGATAGGAAACCAAAAATTTGAGGTGACGTGGAGGGGATGGGAGATAGCCTAAGTTGTCCATGGGTCCATGTGGGGCTCAGGCCTCACAGATTTTTTTCTTGCTATTTCCTCAGTTTCTTTTAGCGTTCCCACATTTATGACCTTAGGAGAACATGGGGTTTTCTTCTTCTTTTAGTGGTCTGTGGGGTTGCTCATCAAAAACCTGTGCTCAGGAGTGTTCCTGGGGTGGTGTTTACAAACACCGTTCAGTACACGGTCCATGGTGTGGACTCAAGGGAGAACCAGCTCTTTGGGACACACTGGGATACTTCTCCCTGTCACAAGGAAAAATATGATTTTTTGGGGGGTGGGTATTAGCCCAGAAGTATCACATGCACTTAATGGTTGCAGGGAGGATGTGAGACTGGGGAGGGAGAAAGCTTAGTCAATTTCTAACATTCTCACCTGTGCACTGTCCCTGACTAGGAAACCCACCACCCAGACATCTGTACTCTCAGGAAGATGTGGCATTTGCTCATTCACTTTGTTCTTCCCTCTGTCACACCAGAATACACACTCATCTCTCTGAGCACGGTCAAAGGATGATTTTCAAGAAAGTATCGTGACGCCCACATACATATGAAATGAGTGTTTCAAAGATGTTATCCGATTCTTTGAATAAAGAAGGCACAGGAAGAGTTCAGGCCTGGTCAAAGAATATCTGAGGAATTAGTTATTTACTGGCAACTTAATAAAGGATTGTTAGGACTGCTGAGTCAGGCAAACATTAGTTAATGTCCTACAGGGCAAGAATTCATCTGTTATTTATCTTTTCTGCCAGACAGATTACTCACACCTCTATTGAGTAAAGTTCTCCAAGCTTACTTGTAACTCCACTAAACCTGGAGGTTTTCATCAATAGTAATCACTGAATGAGACAAAGTTTGTTTCCTTCGATAATTCTTTTTGCCCCCACATGACACTGAAAGATGTTGCCATATTCTAAGTGCCAGGCAATTTTTCTCAATAACTCTTTGAGATTAGAAAGAGTATTTCTCATTTTACAGGTGGCTTCTTCCCTGCACAACACAGTCTCAGCACATAATATGTTCAGTAGAGATTATTGAATGATTCTAGGGTTCTCATCCACCAGAAGCAGTTTCTCCATTTCACCAACAGACTAATGTGCATCCCTACAGCAGTGTATTACCCATTCCACCCCCTACCAGCTTTGCAATTTTCTTTTTGAACGTTATTTAACATTATAAGCATATTCTTATTTCTTTATCATCAGGTCAGCCCAAACCAGAGGTAACTTGGTATAAGGATGGTCAAACCATAGAGGGATCCGACATTATTTCCAGCTATGAATTCTTCGAGAATCAGTATATTCACATGTTACATCTCTATGGGTAAGTGGCCATCCCTCTGTGGACTGTTTACTAAGATCCCTGTCTTGTGTGTCCTGAGAGGGTTTCGATGAATTAAAGCCAAAGATAGCCTGTGCTTGCCTTTTTCATCCCAGGGTTAGGCATTCCTGCAGGCGTTGGTCAACGGCATCCAGCAATGACTGCCAGACTCTGGGCACTAGTGTCCTAATTTGCTGCCATGGAAGGAATCGCAACTTTATCCAGACTTTTATTCAAGGCGGTCCGGCCATCAGTCATGTTCATATGGGTTTTCACTTAATCTTGTTTTTCATTCTGGCAAGTTCAGAAACACAAGAGAAGCTGCTCTATTATCCAGCCTTTCTTTCTTCTTCTTTTTAAAAAGGATTTATTTATTTATGCATACAGAACTGGGGTACAAGCCAGAGGTGCAGGGGCAGTGAGAGGATTCACCAGAGACAGAACAGGGAGCAGAACAGGCAGATCGATGAAGTACACTGCTGAGGGGAGCAGCGGGCGGGTCAGGAGAGGTCTGCTGCACCATGTGGTCACCTCCGGGGCGGGCGGGGATCGAACTCATGCAGAAGTGGCTTTAGCAGAAGTGGCTTTAGCAGTGAGGTGGCGATGGAGGTAAGGCTGGACACCCGCCCCTCGGACTTTATGAAGACGTGGTACTGTCCAGTACAGTGTTTTCTAATTCTTCATCCTTCGCCTGAGAACCGTTGGTTCGCATCAAATCAGGAAGCACCATATGCAAAGCAGACTAGCAAGAACTGCTCTGCTGAAGCGAGCAGGAGTTTGTGTTCCGGGCTCCCGAGGCGGCTTCACCGTCTCCATGTCTCATGAGTCCCTAGGAGCCTGGTGTGACAACACCGGTGGCATGGCCTTGGGTCTGACAATACCATGTAGGACTTGGGTTTGAATTCTAGTTCTGACAATTGCTGGCTCTATGACGCCATTATTTTACCGCTTCAGAATGCAGTGTCTTTATCCGGGAGAGAATGAAATAATTTTCTGTTCATGAAAAGCCTTCTAGGTAGTAGTTGCTCAATAAACACTAACTCACCTCCCTATTCACGCTTCGGTTTCAAAGGACCCTCAGAGATCAACTCACCATCATTGAAATGCTTGGCTCTGTTGGCTTAAAGCATATTGAGCCTGATAGTCAAAGGATCCTTCTATTCATCTATTATTTAGTTTTTTTAAACACCCTTGGTGAGGCAGCTCTATGGGAGCCCCATTAACTGATTCTAGCGATCAAGGTGAACAGCAAGAATATCGTCCACATACTCGGAAAACTCCAGTCTAGCTTGGAAGACAAGTGGTAAATACATCACCCTCTCCATTCTCCCGCTTGCTGCCCCTGAAGCAAGGGCGGAGTTGAGGGGGGCATGGAGTTTGGCTCTTCCTGCTTCTTCATTTCCAGTTTTGCCCCATTCAAAGTAGAACCCACCTCTGCGTCACAGTAATTCTAGTTACCGGCACATCTGTCCAGCCTCCAACATTCTCTCCTCTTTTGCATGGGCCTCTTTGGTGGGGGAGGGGCTTATTTATTGCTTAAGATTGACAGATCAATCAGTAGACTGTGGGCCTCCAATGGGCAAGAATCCTCTTTGATACACACAAATGCATCATAGATCTATATATTTGTGGTAGTGAATTTGCTTCATCAGCATAGGCAAACTTTTTCTATAAAGTTCCAAAGAGTAAATATTTTAGTGTTTGAAGGTCATATAATTTCTGTTACAACTGCATTGTAATGCAAAAGCGTCCACAGACAAGAAATGAAATAGCTGTATTTCAATAAAACCTTATTTCTAGCTGTAGGTGGGGGTGGGGAGAGGGCCAGACTTGGCTGAGGGCCAAGGTTGGCTCGTTTGCCAACCTGGGTGGAGGTAGTCAGATCCTTGAGGACCTTTGTGTTCCCTCTCCTTGCCTCAGGGCACACAATACCTGTTTCTTGACTGGCTCTGTTAGTGGGCAGAATGAGGGGTAGCAAGACCCCTAAGTTTGTCTACTCTAAATGGGTTCTGCCATCTGCCGCACAAAGACAAATGTACAAGTCCTTCAGTGGAAAAGTCCTTAATTCAATTAGTATGCATTAGAGAGAAGAGCAAAGAAAGAATATGGTTAAAATGGTTTTCCCATGAGGGCCCTCCCTGGTGGTGCAACCGGTTAGAGTGCAGCACTATGAAGCTGTCTGCAGCCACTGCAGCACAAGTTCAATCCCTGACTAGGGAGGGGACCTACATGCATGGCAGACCTCTCTGGCTCGCCCGCTGCTCCCCTCAGCAGTGTACTTTGCCATCAGCCTGTTCTGCTCCCCGCTCTGTCTCTGGTGAAGCCTCTCACCGCCCCTGCACCTCTGGCCTGTACCCCAGCTCTTGCATGCACGGATGAATGGACCTTTGAAAAAAAAAAAGTTTCCACATGAAGCACCGAGTTACCCATCCCCTTGGGGGTAAATGCCCAGCCAAGCAGAACCGGCCTGAGCAGGACTGCTGAGTCTCAACGGCCTGACACACAGCAAAGGTACGCTCTGCAGGGACCCATAAGAAAGAGGCAGAAGGAGCCAGGCAAGTCTGGAAGGAAAAGACCAAACTCAAAATCTGCAGAAAGGCTGTCACTGTCAGCCTCCCCATGGCCCCTCACCGAGTCTCTAAGTGTCTCTTTCCACGTCCCGCAAGTCCAAGGCCAAGAAGCAAGCAGTTTGCTGTTCTGCATTTGTCTCTCTGCTCCATGCACTTGCCCCAGGTTTTCTTTTCATCACCTGCTCCTCCTTCCTTCCCAATCCTTTCAGCTTCTCCTCTCTGCCCAGTGCCCTCACCTTCCATTGGGTGGGGAAGGGAAACTGGAGCCTCCCCTTTTCCTGGGGATCACACTATTACAGTCCTTGGTCTCACACTAAACTAAAATATTCTATCCAGTTTTTAGCCAGAGCGAAACTTCATGCTACTCTTTTCCTAATGGAATTGCCAGATAGAATGGAGCTCTTCTGTAATGCATTTGTTTGCATAGACCAGGCAAAGCTAATGTTTGTAAAGAGTACAGGAAGCTAAGAAATGGAAGAATGCAGCCATGATGAAGCCCCAGGAGGCCGGGGGGCAGCTTAAAATGGGAAATCTGCCAGCCAGACAAGAACAACCAGGGAAGGGAAATTGTGATTTGGAAGGGGCGGGAGGTCCTCGGTCTCTGGGGTCCAGCAGGGCCGTGGTTTAGGGCAAAATTGAAAGATTGTATGGGACAGAACTCAATCTTTCCAAGCTCCTGGCCTGCCATTTTGAAAAGCAGCCTCCTACAGGAAACGTTCAGTCCTGCTAGGATGTAATAAACATGGCCACGTTTTCCTGCTGGGTAGTAAATCTTCTGCGCACTAATGGCTTTTAAAAGTTGTGACTTTTACACCAGCCACACCGGGAGCCTTTAAATCTCACTTTCACCCTGGATGCTTTCCTCCAAGCCCCGGGTGACTCCAGTGCCTTGTCCAGGGTGAGAAATGTTTTCTATCTGAAAACATTCTTAGGCAAAGCTGCCTGACTTCTCCCTGTGTGCTAAGTGCTGGTTGGGAAAATGAGTGGTCATTTATGTAACTTGCCTTTCAAAGAGTCAAAGTCAGTCGTTAGAGAATTAGCCTCAAATTGTCTTGCCTTTGTCAATACACCACCACCAACGGTATTAGCTCAGAGCCCTCGAAGAAAAAGTACGTTATCTATTTGCATTTAATCTTTGGGTCATTTAATCTTAGACACTGGAAAACTCCTGTTTCTGGGTTTCCTAAGGGCTTTTCCTGGTTTAACCACTCTTAGCTGCTGTTCTGCTTTGCAGACAAGGGCCCAGCTGCCATGCTTATCGGCCTTCTGGTCTTCCCTTGCTCCCCTCCGAGTCCTCCCTGTCTCCTCCTCTTCATTCCACTCTAATCTCAAAGAACTATGCACCCTGGACAAATTAACCCCAGATGAGACTGATCAGGGCTCAGGTGACATTTCCATGACTGCAGGTCATGTGTGTTTGGCAGGTGAGAGGAACAGAAAGCCAAGAAAACATTCCAAGGGAGAGAAGTACCAATGAAAACAATATGGTTTGCACTGAAGCGTGACTTTTTTTTTCAGAAGATGTAGGGGCCGGGAGGGGTGGGGAGGAGAGGAAAATGCAAATAGATATTTTCTGCTTCATAGTGAAAGCAAGTTGCCACGATGTGTATACAAATGGGGAATTGTGGTCTTGCATGAACACTAGTTAAAGAAAGGCAGCAAAGCTACAGATAAGAATCTGTCCAGGAACCCACAGCAAGAGAGAAGCTCCTCCTGCAGCCAGGAGGCTGCTTTCGTGTCCTGCCCTGCTGAGAGAGAGCACAGATTCCCAAGGGGCGGGAGGAGGGTGGGTGTGGCAGGTCCTGGGGTAGGAACATCCAGTAGCCCTCTGGCTCTGGTCAGCTCTGTGTTAGCTCTGGCTGGGCTGGAGGCAGACTCCGTGGAGGACCTGGTGGGGGCAGTGAGCAGACACGCCCAGGAACCACCAGTCAGCCTGCGCCTGGCGTGTGTGGGTTGACCAGTGTTCCCCTAGATTCATGTCTCTCTTTACCCTGAGAAAGAGGCCTTATCTGGAAATAGGATTTTGTAGGTATTATTAGTTACATAAGGACGAGGTCGGAATGGATTAAATGTGGCCATAACCCAGGAACTAGCACCATGGAGGTGGGGGTCCACCTTATAGAGAAAGGGAAGCGTGACCTGTGACAGTGGGAAGCGGGTGGAAGCGCAGGCACCTGGCCTTCCCGGCCTCCCTTGCACTGTCGGAGGCAGTGGTCTAGATACTGGACTCACAGGCTGTGCTTCTATGCTCTTTGTGGTAGCTTGATCCAGAGCTCTGGGAAACAACTACACGGTGTATCGAGCATTCAGATAATGGTAATGGCAGAATTTCCTCTTGCCTAGCCTGGCACAGGTGGCTCTGTCCTGGGGCTTTCCTGTCTCGTAGCTCTGACCTTCCAGATGATCCTTCCTGAATCACCGTATGAGAAACAG